TGTCCTGCTGATCCATGAAATCTTGAGTTACTTTAGCTACATGCGGTCTAGCGTTGTCTTGTTGAAATATGGGGTTCTCGATGGTCTCGAGATATGGAAGAACATGAGGCTCCAGTACTTCGTGACTGCAACGAAGAGCTAATCAAGACTGAAGGTTTCCTGCTACCATATGCAATGGCACCCCATACTATTAAACCAACGGTATGGTGAACATGCCGCTCCACATTAAACTGGGGATCTCGTCTTTCCCCTTCTTACTCTTGCTCGTCCATCGTGCATACCCAAACAAAAGCGAGATTCATCGCTGGAGACTACGCAGTTATGTCTCTGCACCAGTGCAATTGGTTGCGTCGATGCTCGAGAGTCAGTGGCAACACCCAATGGGGATGAAGCTACTTACTAGCTTATACAATGTGCGCATTCCAATAACCCTTTCGTGTTTTCCAAACCACTGATTTGCAATTACACTAGTAGAAATGAACCAATCCCTAAGAGCCAAAAGTCCTTATCGGCGATCTTCATTCGCTATTGAACCCTGCGACGATCAATGCCCCTAGCTCTGTGTTCTTGGCCTTCTTGGGTCCATGAATAGTACGCAAAGATCGATTGGTTCTTCTTGAAATTTCTCCAACCTGCCTCATGTAAGCCAACAATTCGTCCTATCTCAAAGTTGAGGAATACGACGAAGTATTCGCACTCGAGGCATAGTGTTAACAATTCGAAACACCTTTCAACAAACTCTTCAACATTTAAAGCACAAATAAGAACAAAAATTGAAGAAATGATAAATGCTCACACAAAAAACAGTTAAAAAACTGGTCAGACTAGCTTCCGATACGGCTGAAATTTCACTGGCTTTTTACTGGCCTCAACATAAATGCACATGCAAAATATTATTGAAATATTTTCAATATAAATGGGTGTGTGTCTTCATTTGACATTTAGTATAAGATAGAATCAATAGAAAACATAATACCGAAAAATGAGGAGAGATTAACAACGAAGATAAAATCGGAAACGGACAGTCGGGCAAAAGGAAAAAGAAAGGAGAAAAACTAGGTTTTTCTCGTTTCCTTCCCAATTGTTTCTTTATCACTGTTATTTCACTTATTATCAAATTATTTGAAATGCTCAAACTGCAGATTATAATAATTCATTTCATTTACAAATTAGTTTTCTGATACTTTCGAATTACAGTTGCTCATTCATTTAGATTTATTGTTCAATATTTCAATAACTTTTTTTTCATAAATTTCATGTCCGGTCAATGAAAGTCTAAGCTATAAAATAATTATCAACCACATTCAAACAAATAAAATATTTCATCAGTTTTCATTCAATAACTTATCCGCACAAACTGTTAATTTTTCGATATAATATTTTGGTTCCTGCTAGTTAGGTACCTGTTTATATCAAATTGCATATTAGCCTAACGTAAACTAAGTATGAAATTCCAAAAATAAATAATCTGACATCAACAACAAACGGATGTTTATACCAGTTCGATGAATCATTTTTTAATTCAATTTGAGGGACTGAGATTTCAGGTTCATATTAAAGAATTGAAAAGTGAACTGTGGAAGAATTCTCTAATCAATTTTCGAATGGCAGTTTGACAATACCATATCAATCATTCCAGATCCTTTTTCATTATACCACTCATACCACCAAATTCATCCAAAAGTTGGATTCTCCAGGCGGATGATTCATACTCGAGTAGCTCAGTTTCAAAAAGAGTCTTGTCACTCCTTTGAAAGTTTCTTGTCAGTTGCCTGAAGTTTGAGAAAGCGGGTGAATTTTTTGGAACTGGACTACCAAATTCCATTCATCTCTCGAGTGTGTAGACGTAGGACAAGATACTGGGAAAATTTTTGAGTAGCCAAAAAGGCATCTGCTTCAAATATGCTCTGAATCAGGACTAAAACAATTATATTTTAGAAGCCAGTTATCAACAGTTAATCCACAAACAATTAGTAACCTCTCATGATCAGTTGTTGTTACCACAGTTGTTACTGATTGTAAATCACTCAATAATGAATTGATTATTCAAATAGACTGATATATTGGGAGTATATGTCTAGATAATGATAACACTTCCAAAATACAAATCATAAAATCATAAAACCAGAAAAATTAATCGGCACTTCGGAGCGACTTCATTGATTCCAGTGGGGCATTTGTTTTTCAGCTGCGGGAAAATCCGGAAAAACCTGCAGCACCACATCATCTGAAGACCTTGATCTGCCAGTGTCCTCTTATGAAACAAAATATAGGGTGTCCCCAGAGGCTTCAATAAATTCAATACATCGCCACAACACTTAGTGACACGACTATCATCAAACTTAAACCAGTCCGTTTTGTCTTTGACCAAGGCGTAATAATGATCAGATTTGACCCCAGGACCACAGTGAACAATGACTGCATGAATATTATAATAGTAGTCGCTAGATTGAACCTTCGTAAGAGTTTGTTGCTTCCGTCAGAGGTTCAGTCATGTACGAAGATCATCAGTTTTATTATTGGATTGACTGGTGCCTCAGCTATACTTGTTTTTTTATAACAGTCAGTTAGTTTGGCGCCTGTTTGGCAATACAATCAATCATCACCTGTTGAAAGTTCCATATTCAGAAGATTCAACAATAAACTTTGCACTGACTGGTTGTTAGTCATATTAGAAAACACTAGTTGAAGTTCCAGAAATTCACATACGTTTTCGCTACCTCTTAAAAATTTACTACAAAGTAAACAATTGAGGATTTTTCCAGCAGAAGATTTACAAATACAAGTCGAGATAGACTACTGAATCATTCAATCCAGAGCAGTCAGGAGTATTGATTCTGCTATTGTTTTGCTCTCGAAGAGTATTCTACAAGAACCTCAAGGCTATTAGCAATGACAAAAATATTTCAAAAATCATCAGGAGTGTCATTATTCGAAGTGCTGCCTCATTAACCTCCGAGAAAATGAGCAGAATCAATTTGAACAGCATTTCCTCTGATTTGAATAAAATAAAAAACATATATATTCAGAAATAAGCCCTCGAACAGAATTCTTCTTTTGAAATGAAAGCATATTCATACCACATTCATTTCATTTAGAATTTTTTATGAATGAACGAATTCAGGAATTTATATGAGAATGTTTAAGATGAAAGCAAGGAGCAGAGAAGATATTATACTTTCCTGAAAAGAGGAATATAAGTATGAGGTAAACGGTAAATTTTCAGACCAACTTCATGAAAAGATTAATGAAATGAGTATAATAGGTTTTTATCCAATTCCATGGGGATTCATGAAAAGGAATATTATGAGGGACAGAAGGGGATCAACTACTCGAAAATGAAATCATAATAGCTCAACATAACCTGTTTACTCCATAACTTTTTCAATTATACATTCTGATCAATCCAACGTTGATCATTTATTCTTACACACAGAAAATTGCTCAGGAAAAAGTGTTATTTTTAGTGTCAATTGATAGAAAAATTCCAATTCAATGAAAAAGCTCTTACAGAGCGGCTGAAAATGAAATAACTTTTGAAAAGACATTTCTTTCTACATACTCCAAAATATTTCAGGTATAGAAATTCTACTTGTGGTTCATAAATTCTTTATTGAATCAGTTTTTGGAACAGTAACACAGTCTATGCAGTAATATTCAATGACATGATCAACAAAATACGGAGTGTTTACGGAAAATAGACGACCTTCAGGAACAAGTTCTCAATATTCATAATGTATAATACAGCTTACAACTTGCGAACTGAACTCTCGAGCAAAATCTCAACTACGTTGTATCCAATCTTACTTTTGTTATTTTCAAAACAATGGATCAAAAACAATTTCGTATTTCGATTTTACACAGCTTCTTGATGCGAAAAACTACCGTTCAAGCAAAGCAATGGTTCGAAAAAGAACTTGGCTCCATCAAAAACAACCATTGACCTTGGTTTACTAGTCATAAAGACACCGATAGTGCAGAACACAGTAGACAACCAAATGAGGCAGTAACACCATAAAGCATAAAAAAATCAATAAATTCGTTGAGAATGATCGAAAAGTGGATTTGTTTGAGTTAGTTGACATTATGAAGATATAAAAATCGTGTTGAAAGGTCTGTTCAAATTGGGTGCCGCGCAAACTAACTGTTGATGATTCTGAGCAGGGTTTGACAATGTTCAAACAAAAAAACCTGAATTTTGGCGGCATGATAATGGATGAAACATAGATCCATCACTTCAATCCGGAATCAAAACGAGCCGAAAGCACAACAATCGGCTGAATAGATTATGGCCTCGTTATTTTGGGATGTGCGTGGTGTAATATTTATTGATTATTTCGAGAAGGAAAATACCATCTACAGTGAATATCATAAAGATTTATTTTGGAGCGTTTCGAAGCCGAAATTGTGAAGAAACGACCGCATATGGCAAGTAAAAAAAATTGGTTTCATCAAGACAACGAATCGTATCACAAGTCATTCAAAACATTGGGGAAACTCTATGAATTAAACTTCGAATTACTCCAACATCCACTATATTCGCCAGATTTGGCTCCCAGCGACTAATAGCTATTCGCAAACGTCAGAAAAATGTTCAGCGGTAAGAAATGTTGCTCGAATGAAGAGGTCATTACTGAAAATGAAGCCTATTTTGATGAAAGAGATTACGATAATTTTTCTTCAACTTTCTTTATTGAATTTCAAAAATATTTTTTCAGAATTCCAATTCAGTGTAATTAAATGAAAATATCTTGCAAAACACTCTGTTATTTCCTCTCTCTTGTTACCTTCTGATTTCGTTTTTTGCCGACAAAATAAAAAAGACAATCTTCCAGCCAGAAAGAAATAATTATATTTGGAAAAATAGATTGAAAGTCATACTTGAATCACAATATCAATGAACTCCCCTAATCCAACGTTTCTATAGAGGTGCTTAAGAAAACAGGCCATTTTGACAAGTGTTTCGAAAGCAAAAAACTGATACTTTACTTTTATTACAGGTTTCTGAATGTCACCATTATATAACTGCCTTCTCATCGAAATTCAACGAAAATAAGGTCAGTATAACTTGAGTTCGGGAAATAAAATCGAATGGTTCCTTGGCATTATGACATTTGAGATTTCAATGTAGGGAGCAGACTATATGATGTGGTGGATTGAACGAGGAAAAGCAAAATACAGGGTGTAACTAAAAAAGTGTGAAACATTCAAAGAGGTGATTCCTCATCGAAAAAAAGATAGGATCTTTCATATAAAGAAATTTCATTGGAGCATCCCTTGTTAAGATACAGCCCCTTAAAGGGGGTACATGAAATTTGTATATCATTTTTTTTGACAAGCACTAGAAAAGTTACAATATTGAAATTGATCTGACGTTTTGTACTACCAAAAAGACACTTAGCCAGAAATTTATTCGGTTTACCTCATGGTTGAAAGAGGTGGAAAAAGCAACTCCTAAAATTTATTTCCAATGTAACTTTTTGTCTTATCATTTGTTTACCATTTAAAAATTTATTTCCGATAGCATGTTTTATTCTAAACAGAAAATGTATCTAGGGTTTTTTGCCCAAAATAAACCAGTTTGCAGCAAAAAAATATTTTACGATGTTATATCAAGATCTTCATATGATGTGGTGCTGCAGGTTTTTCCGGGTTTTCCTGTAGCTGAAAAAGCAAATGCGCCACTGGAATCAGTGAAGTCGCCCCGGAGTGCCAATTAATTTTTATTGTTGTATTTATTTTATTTTTATCGTTGTTTTAACACATTGTAATAACGTTATAATTGAACATAAATAAATATTTTACGAACAACTACAGAAATACATCGTCATAAATGCGAAAATACGAAACTAGTAGGTCGCTATTAGCGATAGTGACAATTAAATTGGTATGACGCTGTCAGTTTGTGAATTTTCGAAATTGAATAAATACTAATTTTAATTTGTTACTTTGATAATTCACTTGTTATTAAAATGGCATACACAAATGAGGAAATGGCTGATATGCATTACGTTTACGGTCTGTCGCAGGGGAATGGGTTAGAAGCTTCTAGAAGACATGCTGAAATGTATCCTCAACGGTAGTATCATTCACAAAGAATATTTGCTCGACTTCATCAACGATTACGAGAATATTCGAATATTCATTCGACAAAAGAACGCAGGATTGTGGTCGCCATCGAGAAGTACGAACACCACAGCTTGAGGAAGCAGTACTTAATTTAATTGAAGAACAATCTACTACCAGTTCTAGAAAGATTGCTTTCCAACTGAATGTTGATAATATGACGTTATTTCGAATTTTAAAGGAAAAACTCTTATACCCTTACTATCTGCAACGAGAACAGGCACTGTTACCGCGAGACTTTCCGAACCGTCTTGAATTTTTCAATTGGATGCTGGAAATGATTAGAAGAAATTGTGACTTTCTGAAGACGATAGAATTCACAGACGAATGTAGTTTTTCTCGGGACACGATTATTAATTTTCATAATTACCACATATGGGCTGATGAAAACCCTCACGCTATTGTCGAAACTAATCATCAAGAACAGTTTTCTCTCAACGTGTGGCTCGGAGTTATTGGGGATGATTTAATTGGGCCTCATTTTCTACCTCCTCGATTAAATGGTGAGGCATACGTTCAATTTTCAAGAGAAGTGCATCCAGTACTGCTGGAGGAAGTTCCTTTGGGCGTCAGAAGGGATATGTTTTTTATGCATGATGAGGCTCTCGCCCATTTTAGTAAAGGAGCGCGTCAGCATTTAACTGAAACATATGCAAATCCATATTCTTGATTCCTGGATCTCAATCCTTTCGATTTCTCTATTTGGGGCCATTTACAGCATTCGGTTTATCGTACTCCTGTTCGCGATGTAGAGGACTTACAGGACACATATGATAAAATTGTTACAGGCAGCTGAGTTTTGCATATATTTGAAAATATTTTCCCAGTAACCGCATTCGATATTTTGAAGAATAACTTAATGGAAAGGATAGGAAACAATTGTTCATAATTTTTTTGGCTTATTTGGCTCTGGATTGAACCATATATCAATAACAAAAAACCTATTGGATGTAGACCTAATCGAACATTTTATATTCCAAAAATTTCATATTCACTTCTCTGTCCTCATTATAAATATCCTGTTAATGCTACTGAATCTAGAAAATTATGGAAAACTAATATTATATATTGAAATACTACAGTTGATATATTTTAGTAATGGATATTTCCATACTATAACTGATTCTGAATGCCGTAAATATGAATTGATAACAAAAAAACTCAAAGGTATCTTCAACCATTTATTTTTTCAATCAAAAAATACATTTGCCAAATAGATTCATCAAATGAATTTCTTTATCAACAATTCCCAAACAAGAAAGAATTTTTCCTAAAATGCGCAGCAATAATATTTGTTTTTTCAAAAAAAAGTTCAAGATTTCTATAAAATTCCACAAACCGTAGATTATTGGCTAGTTAGAACAATTATTCAAACCTAGAAAATGGATTAAGTTATGAAAGGCAGTGATTTTTTTAGAGAAACTCCCAAATTGAAATACTATTTCAATTATTTCGATTATAAATTGATTTCTCTTTTTACGTCTTCAGAAAAATACCATAAAAGTGCGAAAAAGTTAAAGTTTTCATCGGGGGCTTTGTGAATTGTATTTTTTTATATAAATCCACCAAAAAATTTAACATGGATAAAATATCTTGCTAGTGCTCAGAAATCATGATTGAATTCATCAATTCCATGGCGAAACTTATTGCAAGTTTTGACGAAAGACATTTTTTTGTGAGAGACTCAATGTTTTTTAATGTTTCTCTGGGTTTTCAACTTAACATTATCTGATAACGCTATCCAAATAACGGGCAATTATCTGCTAGGTAGAAATCAGCACGTTTGGTTGAATTCTCAAGTGTCGAATGATCTGGAACTGAAGGCAGGAGTACAACAAGGATCAGTTCTGGGTCCATTGCTCTTTATTATTTACTCATCAACCTTGCTGAAGGAACTTCAAACCTGTAATATGCATCTTTATGCGAACGACATTGAATTTTATCACTTTTTATCCAGAAGATGTCAAAGAAGCTAGCGGATGCATGTACTCTGATATTGAAAAATATAATGAACAAGCAACTCCACACTCGCTTTTCATTATACCAAAAAATCTAAAGTTATAATTTTCGGGTCTGAAATCAATAGGAGTGAAATCATCAATTCAGTTGAAATTGACATAAATGCAGATACACTTCATGTTGTTGGTGAAGCCAGGAACTTTGGCGTTATTTGATTCTCATATGAGGTTCGAAGAACACATCAACAAACTCATTCAACTAGCCTATGCCTCCCTCGAATTGATATATGCTAACAGGCACTCCTCATCGATAGAATTGAAAAACATGTGTGAGAGCTTAGTCCTAGCACAGTTGAATTTGAACTCAAAAAATTGAAATTTAAGATGATGAAATTAATGCATGAATATATCATTTTGAAATAAAATTGAAAGATGAAATTTTCAAGATGGCGACTGGGCGTCAACTGGGAAAAAATTAAATGAAAAGGGGGGTCTTGTGGCACATCATTTTGAAGCTCCTGACGAATACTTCACAACCCTATAATTTGAAGTCAGTATCTTTACCTACTACAAAATGGCGGAACATTCAATACATTTGTGAGGACAAACACATTTATATCGATATTTCTAGAAAAATTCTTTTTATCTGTCATATGGCAATTTCAAAAATCCGATAAGGTTTGCTAAGTTATTTTTTGTTTATAAAAACGTCAAATAATGTCAGTACGACAATGAACATCATTGTTCAGTTAGAATATTCTCATTTAGTTTTCGGTTTTACTAGTAGAAAGGTGCCACGTCAACAATCTCTAAAATGGTCAATTTTTGTTCATTGGAAGAAAACATTGAATCGATTTTTATGTACGGCGCGACGCGTAACTTTCACGAAAGGATTTCCAATGAACGTTTTCCGAATCGTTCTATCTGTAAAAAATATTTGAGTATATAACAAAAAGCCTCCAGGACATCCGTCCATTCCGGAAGAACAGCAAGTGCAAATAATTATTGAGATTGTAGTGAATCCTGAATAGTCTACTTATTCCGTCGCGAATGTTTGTGAGGTGTCTTCTTCTACTGTGTGGAGACTTTTGAAGAAGAATAGGTATCATCCATGTAAAATTAAAATAGTCCACCAATCAACTGAAGATGACCCTGATTGAAGAACAGAATTCTTCAAAATCATTATGGAAACCATTGTAAAGCATCCTACCTATCTCCACAATATTTGTTTCAGTGACGAATTTTTTTTAAACGGCAATGTTCACAGATGAAACTGCCGTTATTGGAGTGACACCAAACCTCACGTTTTCCAGGAAACACATACACAATATCCAGAAAAAATCATCGTTTGGACAGGAATATTGGAAAACCATATTGTAGGACCTCTATTCATTAATCAAAATTCAACAGGGCATCTGGATATGCTGAAAACTACTGTTGACCCTTTCATCACTGAAATCGTCAAAGCGAGTCCTAATGAATTCGATATGGATATTGTATTCCAACAAGATGTAACACCACCACATTACTCCAGACAAGAAATAAACTATTTGGATACAACTTTTTCCGGTCGTTGGATTAGCCGTCGAGGTCCTACAGAATGGCCAGTCCGCTGGCCAGATTTGACACCTTTGGACATTTTGAGGGGTTATTTGAAGCAAAAGGTGTACAAAACTGAACCTGCTTCAATATTGGATATACGGCAGAAAATAATGAATATTTGTAGAAATATTGACGTTACTGTGTCCGAAAATGTTTGGCATGAAATATCGGATGGGCTGTTCATGTGTCAAGAAGTTCAAGGCAACCATTTTGAGCATCTTCTGAATTGACCTCAAGTTTTTTACCTTGTATTATGTAGTTAAATGTCAATGTATTCAGGCAATTATTGAAAGTTTCGCCATTTTGTAGTAGTTGCAGATATTGACATTACATTCCAGGGTTGTTTCCCCAGATAGCGCCCAGTCGCCATC